TTTTAAAATGGAGAGAATATTAATTAATATGCCATGTTTGTCGGCTAGTGGACAAATTTTGCGACTAAAATATATAAGTACATGTATATACATTATAGTGTTCACCGTTTCATAAAGTTAATCTAGTTAGTAAAATACAATACAATCTTTTTATCGGGTATTTCTTTTCTCTCTTTTCATTGGCTATGGTTGCGTTAGAACAAAATAAATTCAAGTGGGTACTATTAGGACAATGCCGATCGTGACAATAATGATTTGAGACAGAGGGATTATGGTCGCTTGATTACATAGTTGAACTTAATTAATTAAACATTATTGCAACACTAATCATTTTATTGTTTTTGTTTTTTAATTTGGCGTTATGTGATATCAAACAATAAAATAAGAAAATTGACAACAAAAGAATCGCATCATGTCCGCCATCCTTCTCCCCACTTATTCTATCTTTGTTTTTCCTACTTCCAAAATATTATATGGATTCGATTAGGGATACAATATATGTAAGTGGACAAAAGAGTTTTAGAAGTACAAGTAAAAAGCATTTGGAGAGACGATAAATAGCGACAAAAAAGGCTAATAACAATAACTGTATATCAGGAGGTATGTGAAGAACATCAAAAATGAAAAGATATTCTTGAGCCAATCTATTCATTACTAATTGATTTTGAATTAGAAATTTATGAGAAACCGGTAATATAACACTCATTAGACTTTGTTTTCTAATATGTGTGAAAACTGTAGAAAATCAATTTTTTAAAAACAAAAATAGTATAAAAATGAAAAATAAAATCTAGTTATAAAAGTATTCATTTAGTTGCCTTATTTCTATTATGTAGTTAGATTTGAGTATATAATATACGGTGATGTTATTCGATGATGGATTTAATAGATTTTAAATATAAACAGAATTCATCTACATTGCATAGAATTGGAACCGGATACGAGAAAAAACTTTTCTAAGCAAGATAATTTATAGATAAAATACGAAATTAGTTTGTATAATTGTTAAAGTAATAAATTAGTTTTCGGTTTTATTTTGTATTTATAATGAGAAACATATCAAAAATAATTTTACCTTTTCTATTTATTTAAAACACAATATTTTTAAAACGGAAGCCAAAATAGAATCGCAAGTTTCCAACGTATTTTTAGAGGGTTTTCAGAAGCGACATGGAAGCGTGCTTCCACAAGTTTCCGAGA